TTCAGAGGAGAATCTGAAGCAGGACCCCCAGAGGCTCACCCATAGCTCGGTCGCCTCCTAGCCCAGGACATACCTCGGCAAGGACCTACATGGTGGCAGGGGTTTCTAGTTTTATCAAGATCTTTACACGATTACAGTAGTTTTAGTTAATGCAATAAAATATAAAGAGGAGGCAGCTATTTTCAGATGACATTATTAACCTATAAAACATGAAATAATCAATGAAAACCTATTAGGACTAGTAAGAAAATTCTATATGTTAGCAGCTAACACATGAAATAACCAAATCCAAGCCTTGTGTATAGATTAGTAGAGACCAAGCAGGAAAAAGAAATGAAGAAGCAGGTTCATCATAATAGAAGCAAAAAGAGGAAAAAAAACTTAAGAATAATTAAATATGACATCTATGAGCATTACATGAAAAAATAAAATGCAAGCCCTCCTCTTTCTGGGACAGGCTCCAATTAGACGCTCACATCATGCTCCTGGGGTGAAACGCAGTATGAGGAACAGTTACCACTGCGATTCCAATACAACTCTGAAACAATCTGGAGACTTCCTGAGTAACAGTTCTGAAGTCTGTCTGGAGCAGGAAACCAGCAAGATGAGCTAAGGAAACCTGAGCAGAAGGCAAGGCATGGGGAGAGGGCCACACCAAGACTGAGCAATAGGGACAGGTGCAGATGTGTAAGGAAGCTCCCACCAGGGCACAGAGAGGGCTTCGCTTATCTCCTTAGAAAGAACATTCTGAATCATGGTCAAGGACAAGTGGACAACTATTCTGTAGCAAAACTAACAGGCAAGTGGCAACATACAGTAGACCTTTAAAATAATGCCCTTTATTCACATCTTCTGTATCAACAAGAAAAAGACCAGCATTATGACAAAAAAATAAAAGCACAGAAAATGACAGTAAGTGGGAAAAATGACAACTTCTATGCATATAGAGATAAAGTTAACCACACTGGGCATCACAGAGACAAAGGAAGCTGAGCAGGACAGAAAGGACTGTGATGTAAACGAAGGCACTAGGATAAAGGCAAGTGCACCCAATGACAGAGGTCTGCCTACACCTGGCCATGCCCCCAAGCTCAGGAGGGGCCTGCCTCTGTCTGCCTGTGAGAGCTGCAGGGCAGCAAGGTCTGTGCTCGGCCCTGCCGAAGCCCCTGTTCCCCTCAGTCAGTGTTTCAAAGCAGCTCAGGTACTCAGGTACTCTCCTAGTTTCCTTTTAAAAGCCTCCATCCACTGCGCTAGTGGCCTGAGCAACTATGGCCCCCAGTACAGGCACGGGCTGGACGGTGAGCCTGAGCTATTTCCTGATGGTCTGCTCTGGAGAGACGGTGTGCGCATCCCTCATGTTAAAGCAGCACAGGCCTTTCAGCTGTGGGACTGGATCTGTATCAGGGTCACAGGAAACCCAATAAATGGTGATGGAGGAAGTTCTGAACTCCAGGAAGACCCGGAGCCACACATGACCATCCTGTGCTAAGTAAGTGATGTAGACACACAGTTTAGAGATTAAACACTGAGTTCTTAGCCGCTGTCCAGTGAGGCACCCCAAGGCCCGGGGAAGTGGCAGCGCACATACCTGCCAGGGACGGAGAGGGCACCAAGTCCTGTCCAGGAAGATAGAATGTCTGGGCAGAGCCCTCCCTGAGGGAGAAGGCTGGCCGCAGACTTCAGACCAAAGCCAGGCTGGGGCATAGGCAGGGAGGGCAAGGGCCTGCTGCACATCACTCACCCCACACTGGTTTCTGCTTTGAAATGTTAGGGACGTGTGTTTCTTTGATTTAAAACAAAAGAAAAAAACTATCTCAAATATTAAAAGGAACATAGTATGTTCCCTAAGTGGCAACTCCAGGCAACCCTCTCAATAATCTCCCAGCCTGGTATCAAGCAGTGATTCCCAGGCACAAACCCTGGGCACTGCACCTCTTGCCTCTGCCCTGTCACACTCTCCCAAGATCAAGAGCAGGTAGGGAGGAAGAGTCCACCGAGAAGGACCAGCCACGTCCTTACTCAAGGACATGTGAGATTCTGAGCATTAAAGCCACTATAAAGTGCCTTGTTTACCCAAAATTAACAATTTAAGTTATATTTTAAAAATGATTCCCACTCCAACTATAAAATTCTATTCAAGTTCACTGATGATTTAATGACACTAATTAGACTGTGTTCAAGAAGTCTGTCTGACAACACACTGCCAAACGTCCTGAACATGTGGTATTAGAGTTTAAGCCATCAAAATAAAAGCCTGCTACTGCAATGATATAATTATGTCATTTTAAAGGCCTTTATGATCTTCATTTTAATGAAAAAATAAATTATTAAAATGTAAAGTGAAAGGTAACATTAAGTTTTCTTCCTTGCTTTTGGGACCACGCCCCAGAGACTGGGTCCACAGCCAGGTTTTTGGGGCCACAGGCACCTCTGGAAGGCCTACAATTTAGCTGGGCTAAGTTGAGGGAGCTCTTCCTGGCACTGCCCTGAGCACCCTCCTTTTCCCTAGTCCTGTTGTGAGAATGTGATAAGAGCAATACAGAATAAAACAGGCCCATGCCTTGCCTCCATCTTCTTGCCCCCCCCAAAAATGTTTTATTCCAGAAATGTAAGTTTGTGAAGCTGGGCAGCTATCAAAATGTTTTGTGACTGTTTGAAGTATGTGACATTTCAGGAATATTCTATTAAACTCTGCCCCCTCACAAGAATGTTCCCTTAAACTCCATTCCTTTTCAAGAATGTTAAGCTCCACCCCCATATAAGAATGTTCCGCTAAGCCCCACCCCTGTCAAGAATGATGCTAAGCCCCACCCCCACATAATGTTCTTTTAAGCCCCACCCCCTTTCAAAAATGTTCAGTTAGACATGCTTGTCTATACTGTAGATCCCTATCTAAGGAGGCTCTTATTTCTGGGAGAGAACTCAGACTTCAAGTAGGAATTCCTCTGAGCCTACCAGCACAATAAAGGTTTTTCTCTATCTCTGAGTGACACTGGATTCCCGAGTTTTCAAATTTTGATAGCTGTGGCACTTGGGGGACACTGAGCTATTCTGCTTTGCCACAACAGAAGCAGGATCAGGGAGGTGGGCACCACATCCATGGAACCCAGGGCTGAGAGTCTCCATGCTCCCTGCATCCCAGTACTGCCCTGGATGGACCCTCATGATGCAGGGTATATCTGCTTCTGAGCCCTGCCCCCCACACTTTTATAAAAGCTACCAATTCAACTGACATAATGAGAACATAAAACATTAGTCCTCTAGTCCTCCTCTACACCAGCAGTCATCCCTCCAAGGCCCAGTCTGTCCTCAGTCACACAGGGTTACCTGGCTCCCTTGCATAGTAGCCCAAGGAGTGTCCCCAAGGCAAGATACAACAGAGACAATTCATGGGGGTTGGGCTTCTGTACCTCAGGCTCCACTCTAGGTCTGCACAAAAACTGCCATGTCCCACAGTAACCAGGATGACAGGGAATATGTCCACAGCAGCTGGGCCCATTGGTGTCCAGATACAACAGAGAGAAACTGGATTGTGGCCCAGGAGGTGGCCCTTCCTTCCCACTTCTATGAGATTGTGAGAGCCCATGGTGCCCAATGCAGCCGCTGAGAAAGGAGTTGTCACCAGGAGTCAAGATGTGTTTTGGGCCTGCTTCTAAGAGTCACAGAAATGTGAAGATAGAGTTCAAAAACTAAACGAAACAGTATCCTGGTAAGGCTGCCCTCCTCAGTTACAGAAAGGCAGCACGCCGAGGCCACCATGTGCGCCACAGGCATGACTTCCAACGACCCACTGACTGTTCCTTCCAGCTGGCATGATGAGGCCACCTTAGGCCAGTTTAAGGTCCCAGGGGTGAACACGCTGTTGGGGCCAGGGACCCTGAAGGAAAGTGGGCCTCGCCTGTCTGCAGCGTAGAGTGGCAGCTGAGGCTGCCTCACCAGCAGATCCAGTCCCAAAGGTGTTTTGCTCCACCAGTAGGAGGTGCACAGCAGCACAAAGGCCAAGGACAGAGCGCTGGGCCGCCTCTGAGGCAAACGTGCCCTTGGGTGCTGGGCCCAGCCTCCTAGGCAGGCCAGGTTGCATGATGCAGCTGCCCCAGCAGTCACCACTCAGCTGGCAGACCAAACCCTGTTCAGGGCCCAGCATGACGCACAAGCAGAACGTGAGGCTCCCCAAATGCTGGGCATCCCTCCGCCCTGGGAGGAGCTCTGCGTGCTCCTCTGAGAGGGCACCACCCTGCGGGAAGGATGGTGAGCTTGGAGGCCCAACCTCCAGCATGGCCGGCAGCCCTCAGATGAGCCACCCAGCCTGATCCCTGGTCCGCAGTGAAACGACACAGGGTGGCTGTCAAAGCTGCCAAGGGTCTGGGTGACTTTGTGCACAGCCATAGTTCATGAGCCTCCTTTGGGTGGGGCTTCTTGCTTTGTTTAATGTGGCTACTAGGAAACTTAAAATCACCCCATGATTTTGATACAGCTGTATGTGTTTCCACTGAACAGGTCCTCTTACAGTGACAGGAGGTGAGAACCACAGACACCACTGGCCCGACGTGATCATGACACAACTTTCCTATGTATCACTAATATGCTTCTCTCACACATTTATTTTTAAAATGGGGGTGAGATTAGATATCTGTACAGAATAAACAGGTCTTGGCTAACAATTTTTTCTTATTCCTTCTAAATTAAAAAAAAAATTATCTTTTGCCAGTTATGAAAGGTCAGTGGGAAAAACTGAGAAAAGGCCCCAGAAGAAAACCACTGGGTAGAAACACCCCAGAGCTGACCAAAGCCATCTAAAGTGCTGCCCACCACATCCTGCATCTGCTGCGATGTGTGCAAGCCCCACTGCAGGCAGACATGCAGCCCAGGTCCTCTGCACCAGCCTTGAAGTGAAGGCCACTGGGTCCACAGATCCTAGCGCTCCATGGGGCAAGACTGACACAGGTGTAGGAGACACAGGTAGGAGACACAGGTGTCCCAGAGTGGCTGCAGTGCCTCACCTTTATGTGCTCATGCAGCTGGGCTTCGTGCTGCCGGGACAGCTGCTCATGCTGCCGCTGGAACTCAGCAATGAGGATCTGCCGCTGAATCTGCTGCTTCTGCTTCAGTGCCAGAAGCTCCTGCTGCAGCTGCTGTTCCCGTAGTGCTGGCTCTGCCACCGGCAGTGAGAACTGGTGGTCCAGGCGCAGGTCCATGGGCATTGCTGTGGGGGCCACCTGCAAGGGCAGTGCTGTGGCCACATCCACTGTGGAAAGAACAGAGCAGAGCTGGTCACCCGGGTGGCCATGCAGCCCCAGGACCCCTCACTCACGCTCATCCCCACGGGCAACTGGCACAGGTGCCTGTGGGCTAAAGGACATCTGACACCCCAATTCCCCCTGCTGGTCCTGGACCCAGCAGGCTACAAGCATAGTACTTGGGGGCTCTGGTCCTAAAGCACAAGATCACAAAGGCAGGAGAAGGTCAGACCAGGGGACAGCCTGCACAAATCTCTTCCCTCCACCTGCCCTCCAGCAGTGGAGGTCTCGCTCTCAAAGGACCCCATTACGGGCCCAACGCTGGACCAACGACATGTATGCAAGTCAATAAAGAGAAAAGCCAAAGCTGTGGCTGGCTAAGGAAGGAGCTGATTGTGGGCATGTGGATGGGCACTCCTCCTCTGCTGCCCTTCCTCGCCTCCAGTGCCCTGCAGAGTTGTGTATGAGCCCCAAGAACACTGTGTGCCACAAAAGTGGTCTAGACAGACACTCAAGCAGAGAGCCTGTTTCCATGGTGAAATGAGTGCCCTCTTGGAAAATGTGTTTACCTGACTGAAGCCAATAAAACATGCTCCTGGTTCATGGCACAAGCACATTCATCAGGGCTGTGCTTTAGCACTTCTGGCTGTACTAACACACTACCTAAGTAAGGCTATAAGTGACTAATGGGGAGTGACACTGAACCAATCTCAGGTCTCACAAGTCAGTACCAAGGAGAGAAAAGCAAACAGAAGGAGGCTCTTGTCCTGACCATCAGGAAGTAGCCATGTGTATATGCCTTCTCCACAGGACGGTGGTGTGAGAAGTAAGGACTAGGGGTACTTACTACGAGCCAGACAGCATGGGCGGGGTCAGGGACATCACACCACATTTGGCCTCAAGCGCCTGGGTGGAGAGAGCCCCACAAGGCTCTACCTCTGAAAGGACCCCACACACGCCCTGGGCATGTTTCTCTACCAGCCAACAAACGCTCAAGCCAGGGCCAAGGGAGGAGGCAGGGGCCTCACTTTCCAGGAGGGGCTCTGGACCAAGGCTCCAATGCCAACCTGAGTCCAGTGGCTCCCGTCTCTCCTGTCCCCAGTACCACACATGGACAAGGCACCTTCCTGAGAGTGCCACTGTGTGCCCCAGGACCTGACCCAGCCCACAGAGCTTTCCAATCCGAGCTTGTGGAGAACCTTAGAGTAAGCACTGGCCATAGCCCAGTTCCTTCAAAACCCTGGACTTGCTCCACAGCCTCACAACCCACAGGTACCTGGTCTACTACTGGTCACTTGCCCTTAGTCCAGAGCATTTCTCTGGCCCCTGCCCAGGCAGTGGGACCCTAGTTGGCTGAATCCCCAAATGGCTGGAGGCCCTGGTGCCAACGTGTCGCCTTAGTCTGCTGAGGCAGAGAAGGAAGGCTGTTGTAGAGCAGGCCCAGCTTTGGGGGCACTGAGCCCCAACTGCAAGTTGCTGCTCAGTTGCTGGGAGCTGCGACAGACACCTGAATCCTTCCAACTTCAGGGTCCGCAAAGCCCAGGATGGAGGAGCACTGCTGGAACGTGGACAGGAATTGCAGACAGCTATCTCTGATCTGGCCCCACAGCTGGGCAGAGAGAGGTCACAGAGCCAGAAGCAGCTGGAGCCCAAGCACACCTGGGCCCTGGCCACAGGGACCAGTCAGGCCACTTCCCTGTGGGGCAAGAGGCCCGACAGCACCCAGGAAGCAGGGAAGTTCTGGACACCCACTGGCACCCCCGGTGTATCACAGGCTCTTCCTCCTGCTGAGCACTGGGTGGAAACCAGCCAGTGCCTCTCCTCTGCTTCCTCTCAAATCTTCTTCTTTTTTTTTTTTTTTTGTTTTTTGAGACAGGGTCTCACTATGTAGTCCAGACTGACATGGAACTCACTATGTAGCCCAGGCTGGTCTCGAACGCGCAGTGATCCTCCTGCCTCAGCCTCCCAAGTGCTTGGATTACAGGCGTGCACCACCATACCCAGCCCTTCCTCTAAAATCTTTAGGGATATGCTTAAACACAGGCATTCACATTTAAGTGGGCATCAGACTTGGCACAGTAGAATGTGTTATCCATGTGCATTCAATGGGCAAGACCTGCCCCCTACTCCCATGTGGGTAAAGACTGGCTTTGTACCATCTCCTCTCTGTCCTTTTTTGATCAATTTTATTATGAAGTATAGCAAAATGGAGAAACTGTCAACAAGTCAGTTCTATAAAATGTCAGTATAGGCACCCTTCCCTCAATAAGCTTTTTAACGACTATTTAGACTTAGGGCCTGATGCTCAGACTTACAACCTGTTCTTTTCGTTTTTTTGTATAGTTCTGTACACTTTGTTTATACAGCCTCAATGTCTTTGTTTGTATAGTACACCTTGCTTGGTTATGTAGCACTGTGATTTCTGCTGACTGCACTGTACAGTACAGTGCTGTAGTTTTATGTCCTGTTCTCCATTACAGCACTGCATGTGAGAGTTATGTAAATAAAAGCAAAGTCATCAAGATGGAGTTACCTTTGCCCATTTCTCTTTTCTGGATATTGTAATGTACATATGATCCACGATTCCTCATTTAGCACCCAATTCATGTAACGACCTAGTCACAGGAACAAACCTCAGCAGCACTGTGGGGCACCGATCTCTGGTTAGCACACCAGCTATGTGCCCATACCTGCAGTAGGAATATCTGTCTTCCCACCTTTCCCTCAGTCTTCCTTTTAAGAAATGAAACACTACAGTGGTGGGCAGGGAGGATGGCTGCCCAGTAACCCCAGCAAGGAGAGACATGATATGAGAGTCTAGAGACCACTCAGCACAGCCTCACCAGAGGGTCAAGCATGCCAGCCACTGTCTGTGCCAGGTTCTGCCAGTGAATGCCCTTCTCTGCATCACCCACTGAATGACCTCCTGCGACCCGATGGTGCCGGCTACTCTCAGACCACCCGGGCAGGTTAGTCTGTCTGCTCTCTGGGGCCACACTGCCATTGTTCTGCTTGCTTATATCCACACTCACTCACTGATGGATTTAGTCTGCTGCCGTTGTACCAAGCTTGAGTCTATACTCATGGTGGGATGCTTACAATGTCTCTCGGTCTCGTATTCTTATGTGGTTGATCAGTGAGTGATATTTTGGCTTTAAAAAGCACAGAGAATTAATAAAATGATCACACTGTCTCACATTTTGTATGCTGTGCTACCCCTGTGTATCATGTCATCTGGCCTGGGTGGTGTTAAATGTGGCCCATTTACAGGCATACCACCGTGACCCAAGTCTCACACAGTGACACAGCCACACCAAAGATGCTAGGCCCCAGAAGACACCCACTGCTCACACCAGCACACATTCCCCACTTCTCACTTCCCAGAAGAGAGAGGCCCCATTAGAAGTGCCTCGTGGCAGCCTGTTGGCCCACCTGCTACAGAGGTAGACACATGACCGGTGTGCTGACCAGAGATAGGCACCCTCCCACAGTGCTGTGGGGCTCTCCATGCAGACAGCTGAGAACGAGTAAGATGAGGATGAGAGCCTGTGGAGATGCAAGGTGGCCCCAGAGGACCTCTCTTGCCTATACCTGGCCTGGATTTAGCTGGCTCTGTGCAACCCATTGGAAGAGCTGGTGTGCAGCTGAGGCCACCATTGCGCTCCCTGAAGCACTGTGTCCATTTTTACCAACTGCAGGAAAGGGATGTGATCAGTGTTTGGCTTTCCATCCTAAGAGACTACACAGAGCTTCTCTGCTGTGGGAGTTAAAGTAGAGCCCTTCACTGCCTGTGTCCGATTCCCTGCATCCCCTCCACGATGGGCACAAGGAGAAGGATTTGAACCTGCACAGACAAGTAGACCCTCCCAGGCTCCTGGGGACATGGCCTCCAATCCACAGTTCCAGCTTCCAGGGATGGATTCACAAAATGACCTAGTCATAGGAACAGACCTGTGGACCCTGCCCACATGCCCGCGTAGAGATGGGAACCCGGGCCCTACTCACTCCTGTGCGCAGTGCTGGCAGCTGCGTCAGACATGACTTACACTATTTCTGTATCCAAACCTCTGAAAATGCCATCATTCCCAAGAGAAGCCCCTGGTGCTTTTGACCCAGAGTGCCCGAGAAAACAATGAAACCTTCTCTACTTAAAAGAATGCAGCATCAAAACGAAAAGCCTGTATTTTCATGAATATTCGATGGTGGAGTAGAAAACTGCTTTAACAGGCTGTGCCCTGAGAAACATATTAATACAATCAGGCGCATGACGTTAGTGCGGGCACAAAGAGCGCATTCAGCCTTCCGGGAGAATGAGAGCTGGCTGGGAGCAAGCCCTCATGAAGACAGGGAACTCCAAAGGCTGCTGCTCTCTTCTTCTTCAATACGCAACCATAAAGAAGGACACTAATTCCCTACTCCGTGAATCAGCTCCTCTCTTTCTGACACCATCCATGCCATCATATGGACTTCGAATAAAAGCAGCACTATTCTTTAGAAAACACAGCCAAAGTTAAGGGTCTTTTCAAGTAAAGAATGACTCATTCAAAACGCTAGAAAAATAATAGATATTTCAACTATGTAACCATCACTTCCTCTTGCTGACATTTTGCCTGTGTGGGGGGCGGGGAGGCTAGGGGAGGGAGGAAGAGGAGGAGGGGAGATATTGGCAACACAGAACTTAGGTAAAAATGCTCTTTTGTCCAGGAGTGTGTTGCCCATACAGAGAATGTGTACTTTAAGAGAAGGGCAATGAAAGAGGAGGATCCTCCCAAGGCCTCTGTGCAGATCCAGACCCTGGGGCCGAACCCTGCGATCAGGGCACCCACCTGGGCCCAGCACTCTGACCTGGTGTGCTCCCCAGCGCTTCTCTCTATGGGGCCCAACATCCTTTGCTGTTGACATGAGGGCGTGGGGCAAAGCACGCTTCCAACGCAGGACAGCCCCCAGCCACATCTGTCTTCAGATTCTGGGACAGCTGATAAGAGCTCTCTCTGGTCACAAGGGACCC